GGCTCCTCGACCCCCTCCCGCCGGGAGCGGGCGGCCGCCGAAGTTCTCTCGGTTGTTGGAATGCCCGGGTGCGCTGAAAAAAAGCCCGCCTCCTCCGACCGGGGGCTGCGCCCGCTGATTGGCCGCCCCGCGCCGTCGCTCAGAGAGGGAGGCCCTTCCAGGTTCAGCCCTCACGTGATCACGGTTGCAAAATAGGACATCGGAGAAGCGCGCGCGTGTTTGTGTGTGTGTGTGTGTCTTGGGTTTGCAGAAATAGGACAGGTGCAACACATCTAAAAGAGATACACACATGTTGTGTGTATAAATTGTGTTCCACGTGGAGATCTCCCTTTAAATTGATTGCATTTAATTTTCTGCCCTTCTGCATTTTGCAAAATTGGGGAGTTTCTGGATGAACATTGCCCTGGTGGGATTATGGGCTTATTGTCACGAGAAACCACGTGGCAATCTTCAGCACGCTGTTTCTTGGCAGCGGGTCAAGTGTTGTATTGTTGCGACTTTCTTTCTTTCTTTAGCAAATGTTGGCAAAACATTCCTTAGCAGGATACTAAAGAGGAAAGAGAATTTCCTGGGGGGTGAAAACAAGCTTCATCTAGTCTAGAGAGCAAGGAGATCTTCCTGTCTTGGGTTCAGATGACGTAAGGATGCTTTGCAGACTTTAATAAATTAGGAAAGTCTTCATAGGCAGAAGAATCGGCTTTTTGCTATGGATTCTCTGACAAAGCAGAGGATCCTTATGGCAAAGCATCTCATTTCAGAGTCAGTCCTGACAAGAACAGGGAAATGTTTGTTCCCATAATAATATTGGTTTTGTCCAATTGTAAGCAAAACATGTAACACGATGTTTGACAAGCACAAAACAATGTAGATAGACTGAAAAACTAGTAAAATGTTTATTAAAAAATTAATTTTGTTTTTGTCCGTTTTGAGGATGTCAGCCACCTTGGGTCGTTTCTGAGGGGATAAGCAGAATAATGCATAAATAAATTTTAAAAGTAAGTAAATAAATAAATCTTTAAGGAAGTAGCCTTGTGTAAGCAGGTCAGACAAAATAATCAGAATAAAAGAAACAATGGTGACATCGTAAAGATTGTTGCATGCAGATCCTGAAGCTGAGGCTCCAATCCTTTGGTCATCTCATGAGAAGAGAAGACTCCCTGGAAAAGACCCTGATGTTGGGAAAGTGTGAAGGCAAGAGGAGAAGGGGACGACAGTGGATGAGACGGTGGGACATGGTCATCAAAGCGACCAACATGACTTTGACCCAACTCCGGGAGGCAGTGGAAGACAGGGGGGTCTGGCGTGCTCTGGTCCATGGGGTCACAAAGAGTCGGACACAACAACTAAACAACAACAAAGACTGTTGCATTTTCATGTGAGCTTCTGTGGCTCAAGCCCACTTCCAGGAGTGTCTTCTGACATGTTTTTCTCATGTCCTGCATTGCCTTTTCCCATTTCTGATGTTCCTCTACTTAAGGTGGCTCCAACGGGCACTGGACAGGCGAAAGAAGGTGATAAATCCATAAGACCTGCAAAATTCTGGTTTCCCCACATAGGAAGCGAGCGCCTCAAACAGCTCAGTCTGCATCCCACAAGCTCATTGACCGTGGAATGAAGCTTGATCGCAGCGGTATGGAGCAACAACTCATTTCTGGTCTTCTTTATTCAGAATTAAACCCTCCTGGAAGACTTGGTCTTTGGTCAGTGGATAGAGAATGAGGATGTGATGTCTTGAAGCCTTGAGATGTTGCAACCTTTTGTTAGTTCTGTGAACAGATCATCCCCTTGGGAATCAGAAGTGTTATAGACGATGAAGGTCAGATAAATCTCCTTATCTCCTGAACGTGTGAAGTCAACGCAGATGAATTCTGAACCCTGCAAATGCCTTGCCATAAATCAAAGCCCATTCCTATCTCCCATCTGGAGAAGACTCCCGGCCTAAGGAACTAATAGTGGAAGAAATCAAAGACTTGACGCCACTCCCAGGCTTGAGTAAATGCAGGGTTTTATCGCTCCGGGGATTAGATCCTGCACGTGCTCTCTTTGGGGTGGCATTTTATGGCATCCGATGGTGCCCTTTCCACGTGGTAGAGTTCTCTCTGAGAAGGCCAGACATGCTGATTCCCACCCACCCCTCCATCCCCGAGGACTCCTGTTGAAATGAAACATGGGCACATGTTCATGAGACGTGTTCTCAGTTCCTCATGTGACCCACATCTGACTCAGCAGTCTGAAAAGGGAACTGAAACTCATGTCTCTTGGCATCTCGTCATCGTTCTTTCAGTGGGTCAAAACGGGAAAAGAGCAGCGCTGGCTCAAGTGTGTGGCTTTTGCATAACATGCAATAGTCACAGAGGAGGGCCGTCAGAAATAAAGTGTTGTGGATACTGCCGGATAGCTCAGGGGTTCAAATCTCTGGCTGTGGAGCCCGAGGTTGGGAATTCGATTCCCCCACCGGGTCTCCTTGACCGGGGCTGGACTGGATGGCCTTTAGGACCCTTTCCAGCTCGGCAGTTTGAGATGAGCATAGAAATCGTTCGGATCTCTCGCCAACCGCGCTGAAAGATACAAATGAAATCGTAAGGTTCGGTGTTGAAGAAGCGAAGCAAGCAGACTTGAGATAGGTGATATCTGCTTCCCCCCTTTTTTTCCTGCAAGAAATTTTGGAACTTGTTGTCAAACAACCCTTTTGCCAAATGCTGGGCAAGGCCCGGAAGCGAAGTTCTTTGAAAAAGATGGCAACACTGACGGAGACGGCTCGTCATAAATTTTTTATTTTACTTATTTATTTATTCAATTTATATCCCGCCTATCTGGTCAATTACAACCACTCTAGGGTTGCCAGTTTGATGGGAGAGGGGAGGGAAAAGGGAAAGAGGTGGCAATAATTCAGACCCATAAAGTATCTCCTTTTTTGTTTTTCAAAATGACAACAAAATAAAGGGGGAAAACATCATTGTCTGAGCCTAAAAGAGCTGTATTGGTTTTTGCAAGGAAAGATGCGGAACGGGATTTTCCCAGCTTTTGTTTCCCAACGGAAGGCTGTATCCCGGCTAGTGTCCATGGTTACCATAGTGATAAGGAGAAGGGAGAGCGAGAGAGGTGTGGTTCCGGCTAGAGAGGCGGCAGGTGGCTTCCGGTACCTAGGAAAGGGAATGAAGGCGAGACGGACGGGAGCGGAAGTCGGGCAAGGAGCCGCTGGCGGTGGTGGTTATGCGGGTGCTTCTGCTGGCCAGCCTGCGAGCCCAGACGGGCAACGGGACGACGGCGAGGAGGATCCAGTAAGTGCCTCTTTGGACCCTCGAGGAGGCTGAAAAAGCACCATTTAAATAATAATAATTTAAAATCGATTTGGAAAAAAAAATGAATTTAATTTCTTTTTTTTTTTTACTTTAAATTTCATTGGGCAGGCTGCAGCTCGTCCGGTGAAGCTTTTTTTTTTTTGCACCTCCCTGGCCGCCGCTGCATCCAAGCTCCCATGATTGGATCGATTTAAAACCGCTTTTCCTGGCGATAAAGGTCCCCATCCTATGAATGGGGGATGATGGGAGTTGTTGTCCCGGGTTCCCAGTTTGATGGCGTTCTGGCCCTTTTTCGGGGAGGGGAGGGAAGAGATGCCTTTAAAAAAAATAGTGTCCTTTTCCAGGGAGGTTTATTTATTTTATCTAAAATATTTTTTACACCCCTCCGCCTTTTCCCCTTCAAAGGACACAAGGCAGCGTACAAGATTTAAAAGGCGATATTTAAAAGCTAAAATACAGTGAGTATACGAAGCTTCCAAGAAGAATTAAACAGGTATTATATTAAGACGGTCAATAAAAATCAGGACAGAAACCCCGTTTTAGTTTGGAGTTGGAAGGACAACGTTTTCCACCAACAGCCCTGTTATTCATTTATTTATTTATTTATTTATTTTATTTTATTTATATCGTAGGCCAAGGATAATATCTTTTCGTTGCCAGGTCGGGGAAGCAGATGGACCGGTCTGTGGACGCGTGGGAAGGTCATGGCAGAGAAGATTCAGACCGTAGAGTGAAAGATTGACCTTTGGCTCTTTGCTGTCCGCGGACGTAGTGCGTCACATACACACAATGTTGGCAGCTGAGGACAACTAGGGGGAAAAAAAATCCAGTTTTGGCCCCTATTCAGCAAAACCATTGAAACCGATGAGGTTTCTCCCCGTGGTCATTTACAGCCTGCATCTATTCTGATGGGGCTGCTATGGACTGGAATGGGATGTTGGTTGTGATTCCGTGCCACCCTGTTGCTTTTGATGGCGGCGGGCAATATTCTTCGAACCACAGAGACGGGTTCGAAGGAAGGGGAGGGATGAGGAGAAGGGAGGAAGGGAGGAGGAGGGATGAGGAGAACCACCCTCTCGATCATCCCCTGTCAAGTGGGGAATTGAACTCCCAACCTCTGGCTTTGCAGTCAGATATCTAAATTGTCATATATATATATTTTTCCAGTGGAAAAGAGTTCCACTGGCCAACTTACTATGAACAAAATGTATGGTGCTTTGGGAAGACAGCACATAATATAAGATGTTGTTCTGCTTATGGATGTTCTTTCCAGTAATGAAATCGTTGGTGTGATTTTTCTCTCGAACACTGCTAGAAAGTTCATCTCAGATTAAGTGTAACACGGACGGGGACTTATTGTTTTGAGAGTGCGAGTGATTTGCTGTAATTGGATTAATAGAAGGAAGTAAAATATTTTTAGTCCCGCGATGCACAAAGACTGCCTGGATTTCTTTGTGCCGCGTCTAGCAAGAGGACAGGCTCGGAAAACAGAGATATTCGGCGTTTTCCAGGGTAAATCGTAATTGCTTCGATTCAAACTGAGAAAGGAATCGTGGCGTTTTGAGTAAGCAGGTGTCACTGTTAATTGTCCTGCTTGTTGTAAATTACTCATAATTGCACCATTAGATGACGGCGGGGAGTTGTCTGCGGTTCAGATAGAACCGCTGGCAGATAAAAAACCTGATCTGAAAAGGAGACAAAAACAGGGAGAGGATGAAGGAAGGAGGCAGGTTGGAAAGGACGAGGATGCTGGCATCATAAGATAAATATAATAATCATTGGCAGAGCCAGAAGGGACCCTGTAGGTCATCTAGTCCAGCCCCTGTCAAGGAGGCACAACGGGGAATCGAACTCCCAACCCTTCTGGCTGTGTAGCCAGAGAGCTGAACCCCTGATCTACACATGCGGAGGAAGGTGCTGGACAGTCCCATTCGGACAGAAATGCCCAGGGCCCATTTCTGGAGCAGAATGAGCCAGGATCCCTCCCACTGTTCTACTCCTGCCTGATCTTAGCCACTAGACAGACCACTTTCTAAAACAGATGTAAGTGATGTTCTTTTCGTACGAGCCTGTTTTGCGTCTTTCATCCTCGAGCAGCGATAGAATCTAGAAAAAGCTGCGCCCGGCGGCTTCCGTGCGATGTATGTAATGTCCCAAAGCTATTAAGCCGGAGGAGGAGGAGGAGGCAAACGCTGCTTTAGCCTGCGTGATATAGTGTCCAATTCCCAGCGGAAATTAATATGAATAGCCTGTTTTTCAAACGAAAATCCCATTTGCTTCTCTGCCCGAAGGGATCATCTGGAAGCCGCCGGCCACACGTGCACCCTCAAGGATCTGTTCGAATGCAAGTCCTCCTCGGCAGTGTCCAAGCTCATCTCCCCTGGGAACTTTGACGCGGCTCTGGGCATTCATCTTTATAAAGCCGGCCGGTTCCTGCAAGGTTTGTGTGTGTGTGTGTGTGTGTGGTTTTTGGAAGAAGGGCACCCATGGATTGTGTCGTTCAGTTGTCTAATAAAATGGAAGGAAGGAAGGAAGGGATGGAGGGAGGGAGGAGGGAGGGATGAGGAGAAGGAAGGGAGGGAAGGAAGGAAAAGGAT